GCACAGGCTGTTACCAGCTGGATCGCCTGGCTGGATTGGAAACAAATGCAGATCCTTTTAGAAGGTAAGTCCTGCAATTCTAATTGGAGGAAGGGGCTAGAAAGAGGGATAGGCTTAGGGACCAGGGAGATGAGAGTGCTGGAAACAAGTCAAGCATATTAAACTCCTGTGTGAGTCAATGTGGTGTTGGAGTAAGGCAGAGTAGGGTTGCCAGTGTTTAAGAGGGGGCTGGAAATCTCCCAGAATCACAACTCATCTCCAGATAGAGATCAGTTCCCCTGGAGAAAATGGCTGCTTTGGAGGGTCAACTGTATGGCATTATGCCCCGCTGAGGTCCTTCCCAAACCCCTTCCCTCCCCAGACTTTGCCCCCAAATCTCCAGGAATTTCCCAACCCAGTGCTGCCAACCATAAGGACAGGGGATATCTGGATTATGCTCATCCAGAAAACTCGCCTACTTTATAGGGTTGTTATGAAGCCAAAATGAAGGAAGGGGGAACCCTGTGTGTCGACCTCAGCACCTCAGAGGTCAGACAGGGTTCAAATGTGACTAGTTTAGCACTCAGAGGAAAAGAGAGAAGGAAACACCCCCCCAATCATCACAGGAAGCTTAAAAGCAATTTCACAACAATACTAAACTGATGTGAAACTGGAAAGCTGGCTGTACTGTGCGTTGGGGGGGGGGATCTGTAATTTTGCAGGGTGTCACATGTAACTGCTTGCCTGACAGAAGTTGTGGCTATGTTCTCAGCACAATGAGCTCCAGGCTCTTGTTTGGTGAACAAGCTTGTTCAGTGGAGGTGAAGGTGGTTGACCTGGAGAAGCTGAGAGGTATGTAGGCAATACAGGGCAGATAGGCCTCCTTTGACATTCTGGGGAACAAAACAATTGGGACTGATGGGCACCACACCAAATAAGAGGAGGGAAAATCCCATAGAAGAGACCAATTTCGTGGGTGAGGAACTTACACCTCCTCTCAAAGTGGATACATACTTGTGGGTGCAGGGGTTTCATGGTAGCATCCATGTGATCTTATCACAGGAAGGCAGGTCTGAGTTTACAAAATGGTAGGCAGGCTGCTAGGGGTGGTAGAAATCAGTGTTTATGGGACATATTGGTGCCTTCCATATTGGAAAATAAGTCAGGAGGTCCTAGAAGCTGAATTGAGGTTACTAGATATGTGGACTTTCAGGACATCCAAGGCAGGATTTTCAGAACTGCTTTTATTTCATATGCAGGCCAGGCAATGCCCCCCCCCCCCCCCGGTCCCCTGATGTGGATGAGAGTCTGTTGGGAAGATCATCTTGGGATACAGTGAGATTCGTTCATCAGAGGCAGGCTCAGCTTAGAAGGTTGCCATGAAACTGGCTGAGGGGGGGAAGAACCCAAGTGGCACAGGACAGCACCTATCTCTGATGACACATGGGGGAGGAGGAGGGTGCATCAGGTCCTAATGGCGGGAATGAGGTAGAACTAGGCAGTGAACATACAGAAGCAGAGGACTGCTGTTTGAAAGAGACCGAATAACCATGTGAGAAACTGCATACGAAAAGGTCATTTGCAGAAGGCTGTAATATGTGAATGGATTATCTGTTACAGTCTTCAAAGGGAACGTGAGGGAATTGAAGTGCTTCGTGCCAAATGGTTATATAGTGAATGTATAGTGGTGAAATAGAATGGGCAGAACACAATTATCAATGCTTATTAGGTCTGCAGAATGGGTGGGTGAGAGGGAGGGGATTGCTTCATGTCCAAGAATTTAGATAACTTGAGTAGGGAACAAATTTCTCCACAAAATTTGTGTGTCTGTGTGTGTGTGTGTGTGTGGGGAGAATATCAGGCTCCCAAGTAATCAGTGACTATGGGTATATTAATGTTCCATGCAGCAAAACTAAGGGTGAAAGAAATCTGGGAGACAGCCAAATGAGCAAGCATTTGTAGGAAGGGCAAGTTCAGCTACTTATATTGGTAAGGGTACATGCAGATTAGGAGCTGCGGTGGCTCAAGTGGTTAAGACGCTGAACTGCAGGCTGTGGAAGGTCAGTAGTTCAGCAGTTCAAGACCCAAGTTGCTGCATGACGGAGTGAGCTCCCATCTCTAGTTCCAGCTCCTGCCAACCTAGCAGTTCGAAAGCAAGAAATTGCAAGTAGATAAATAGGTACCACTTTGGTGGGAAGTTAACAGCGTTCCGAGCGCCTTGGTGTTTAGTCATGCCGGCCACATGACCACGGAAACGTCTTCAGACAGCGCTGGCTCTTCGGCTTTGAAACGGAGATGAGCACTGCAACCCTAGAGTCGGATTCGACTGGCTTTCGAGCAAGGGAACCTTTATCTTTACTTTGCATGCAGATTACAGTCATTCTAGACTGATATATGATTGTGCCTTAGAATCAGCCATGTACCTGATTAAGGGAGGCAACACCTGACTTAACCCTGAACAGAGTCTATGATTTGGGGTGATAAGAGGGTGTTGTCAGACTGTTTGGGAACAACGACCATGCTGCAGTCAATGTATATCTAAGTGGAAAGTTACCCAGGAAAACCAGTATGGTCACATTTAATTTCAAAAGAAGGGCATGTGAAACTTCCTTATCCAGTCAGACTCCTGGCCTGTCATCTGCTCAAACCAGCAGCAGCTCTCCAGGGTGTGAAGCAGAGGCCTTTCACATCACATGCTACCTGATGCTTTTAAATTGGAGATGCAGCAGGGGATTGAACTGAGGTCCAAAGCAGATGTTCTATCACTGAGCCAAAGCCTTTCACTTTAGAGACTATATGCTGACCTAGGAACTTATCTGCAAGGAAGTTAAAAATGAAAGCAGAGTCAAATATTTTCAGGACACCTATGAATGACATAAAACCTGTGTAACAGAAATTATTTGGCTATGGAGGTTTTGCTCTAGTTTGCTCCAAAATGGAGGGGGGTGGTTCTTTTATTTTGAACATCCCTACGATATTTCTCTGAATCATCCACTATCCAGGTTTTTCCCTGCTTTCCTCTAATCTTTCCCAAACCTGGTTTGATAAGCTCTTTTACAAAAGATTAGAGTCTTAAGTGTGTTTGCATGGTGTGAATGTAAAGGTGCACTTTTTTACAGGTCCTGCCCACATCAGTGCCATTTTCCTTGCCTCAAGCCCCCACAGCTTTCACCCCTATCCTCGTTCCACCTGAGGACTTTTTCAGACTTAAAAAGAACTACCGTATTTTTCGGACCATAAGACGCACCTGACCATAAGACGCACCTAGTTTTTAGAGGAGGAAAACAGGGGGGAAAATATTCTGAACCCTGGGGCTCAGTATTCGGTCCATAAGACGCACACACTTTTCCCCTCACTTTTTTTGGAAGAAAAAGTGCGTCTTATGGTCCAAAAAATATGGTAATTGCTATAGCAATACAGCAGTTGCCTTTCTTGAGGCCCCAAAGCCTTCTGGTGGCTGGAGAGGGGGGCTGGATCAAGACTCTTTGTATTCACAGCAGCAATGAGAGCTCAATGGAGAAGAGCCACCATGTGGAAGCAACCAAGACTTAGGTAACTTTATACCACAGATTGGGAAAAATACAATCAAATCCAAGAGGATGCCTGCACAGTTAAGGAAAAAAACCAAAGAGGCTATATAAGCTCCCTTTACAAAGCTGGTGATTATGTTAAAAAGGATCCAAGAATGTACAAGCTTGTCAGACCAGGGAAAGGTTATAAGTAACAAAGTAACACCATGTACAATATTTACTGCTTACTGATTATTAGAATTTACTATCATATAACATATGAAATTCCAACAATTCCACAATAATTCAAAGGTATAAGTCGCCAATTGTTCACAAATATAGTTTCACAAGGAACAATAAATGGTTAGCACCTATTTCAAAGCCTGTAAAAGTAGCCAAAAGGTTTTGGTTTTTTTTGGAGTTGCTCCCAATATTAAACTGGGGACAGTGTAGTCCAATTACAATGGAGATGCCATCAATGACCAACAAGTGTCCAGGTTTTCTGCATGTTTCAGTAGCCTTCTTCCAGGTCGTCAGTTATCAATGGAACCAATGCTCAAGAGTAATTAATTTGATAAGCAGCACAAAACACTGTCTGTTCTCTCATTTGGCAAAGAGTTCTCCAGGGAAAGGGACACATGAATAAAGTTAAGCTTATTCAACATTTTCTTTATCCTTTTTGGTAACTTTGGGGTTATTTTCCCTATTTTTCTGGAACATGGTCACCAATGAGCTTCACTGCTAAGCAGGGATATGACCCACTATACTACACTGTCTCACAGTTACTAAACATACAGATAGGCTTACCAAGTCCCCCCGGGGGGCAGGGAAAACCCCGCCCCAGAGGCCCGTTCCCTGCCGCCGCATCGGGCGCTGGGGGGAATTCCACCCCGACGTGCACGTCACCAGGAGGTGACACGACCATGTGGGGCACGCTGGGGACGGGGTCACGGTCATCCGAGGGAAAACTCTATGGTTTCCCCTCAGATGGTCGTGGCCCCGCCCCCAGCGTGCCTCGCGTGGTCACGTCACTTCCTGGTGACGTGGATGTGGCGCGCGCTCCGAGCCAAGGTAGGACTTGGCAACCCTACATACAGAAGAAAAAAAATTGCCAAGAAAAACTCAGCATGGCTTCTGTTTACAAACCCTCTATCATTCTTGAGAAGGTAAAAATACTTAAACTGTGGTAATCTGATTAGAGACATATCTTGGACATCCAAAAACCTCTTGACAAAGTCAAGTGGTTAGAGTGACAAACTTGGGAGATCCAGATTTGAACCCCCACTCTACCACAGAACCTCATCTGGGCCAGTCAGACCCACTCAGACTACTTTACCTCATGTGATTGTTGTGGAGATATAATGGAGATCTGCATACAGAAACCGGAGCTCCTTGGATGAATGATGGGATTTAAAAAAGCAAGATTATTTTTAACATTTCAGATTCTTTCCCTCATTGTTATTAACAGTAAAGAATGAAAGAAACCTGAAGTAACAGCAGAGAAGACTGGAGATCCACAAAGAAGAAAAGCAGAGATGGCCAACTTTTTCAAGAAAATCGGGGTAAATTTATATATCAACTGATAGGACTCATTTGTCAGGGCAGACCACATACACCTAATATCCCAGAGTTGATTATATGACCTTTCTAGCTGCTGACACTACACGGCAAGCCACATTTGAAACTGAGAAGACTTTCCAAAGCAATTTGAGGCAGGCCACACGTGGGATGTTATCTAAAGGAACAGTAAAAAAAAAAAAAAAATCTCACTAGACATGCCCAAGTCTTTGGAGTGATTTCAAAGAAACAATCAACAGGTTTATCTGCAGGGGTAAATACTGTATAACAAGTTTGCCTGCCCATTTAGATTGGCATTTAGCACCAGCAGACTTTGCCAGCCAAATATGGTCATGCAGGAGTCACATACAACTGGTGTTGGAGCTGCGGTCGTTTGTCCGGACGCCATTTTGTCCTCGGGTTGACGCAGCCCTTGCAAAGTTCCGCTCGCTTTTTTGTTAGGAAAATAGGATTTTATTTTGATAAGCAGCACAAAACACTGTCTGTTCTTTCATTTGGCAAAGAGTTCTCCAGGGACTCTTTAGTTTCCACCAATCGATTTTTCATTCCATTCGATCTTCCCATAGTTTGTAAGCCAGTACTGCTAATGGTTGTTTAATATTTCGGCGGGATTTGGAGGGGTCTCTCAGAGTACACTCAATTGACATTCGCCATTAACCTAGCCGACGCCCCCCCCCCCTTCACATTCAACTGGTGAGCTGTTACAGAGCAGTATGGGATGGAGAGGATGCAATTGCCCAGGGCACTAGTGGTTGAAGCCACATGAATTTCATTCCATACATCTTATAATATGATAAAATACTGACATATTTGTTTACTTGAATTTTTAAAAATTAAGTTAAATGCTTCCTTTAGCTTACAAAAAAATATGCAGCGATGGAAATCAGAAGCAGAGAGAAGATCCTTCTAATGTTTTCCAGCTATGTAGCTGCCAAATAAATGAAAGTTGTGCTCCTGAACACCACCTTTGTATTTATGTAGCAAAGAGGAAAACTGAGATTTTTATCACACCAGTATTTCATTTGTAAACGGAGCTGCGGTGGCTCAAGTGGTTAAGACGCTGAACTGCAGGCTGTGGAAGGTCGGTAGTTCAGCAGTTTGAAACCCGGGTGCCGCAAGACGGGGTGAGCTCCTGTCTCTAGTTCCAGCTCCTGCCAACCTAGCAGTTTGAAAGCAAGAAATTGCAAGTAGATAAATAGGGACCACTTCGGTGGGAAGGTAACAGCGCTCCGTGCGCCTTGTTGTTTAGTCATGCCGGCCACATGACCACGGAACCGTCTTCGGACAGCGCTGGCTCTTCGGCTTTGAAACGGAGATGAGCACCGCAACCCTAGAGTCGGATTCGACTGGCTTTCGAGCAAGGGAACCTTTTTTATTTCATTTGTATGGATTATATCCCGTCCACTTATCTAACTGTATCATTCATGTTTGAATGCAGGATGGTTTTCAGGGTATAACAAAGGATATCGATAATGTACTTTGGAACAAAGACAAACCAATGCCTGGGGACATGATGCAGTTTCAGATGCCAGGATTCCAGCACTGGGGTATCTATGTGGGAGATGGAAATGTAGTCCATTTTTCATGGCCAGGTAATAAGAGGACAACGGTATATGTATGTCTTTGTTTGCGAAAGATAAAATAATACATACACATGTAGAATCATGAGGGACTCTATACAGGTCATACAGTGTTCTACAATTCCTACATTAATTGAAACCTTAATAGTTGCTTAATTATTTTTTTTTGCTCTGAACAGTGTCACAAATTATAGATGACACCAGAGTCTCTTTGTAACATATAAGCCAGAGAAATTACTACGTTTCAAGGTGACATTATGTTGTCACAGAACAGTTTAAAAAAGCTGGCTCAGACTGACATTTTTGCATGCGTCAGTAACTCTGATGTTTATGTATCATGTACAACAGAATCCTTTTCTCACCACTTGTATTTTCAGCTGTCAGCCACTTTCCATTAAAATATGCAGTTCGAAAAGAAAAAGTGAAGGATATCAAAGGTGTCCTGGCTTCTGCTGTATACAATAAGTATGACCAAGACTATGTACCATTGCCTCAGCGATGTGTGATAAAAAGAGCAGAACACATGGTGGACAAGGTCATGAGATATAATCTGGCCAAAGCTAACTGCGAACACTTTGCCACAATGATGAGGTACAACATTCCTATATCAGGGCAGGTAAGTTGATTTTTCACATTTGATTCACAATGTTGAGACAAGGCCCTAGAATATATTTCTGCAACCAGGGGGTTTACCCCAGCATTGCAAGTGACTCTTATTGACAGCACTGCTAAAAGCTGACCATCTCATGGGATAAGCTTGGACAGTGAGAAGTCTTTCAAGAGTAAGTGAGCCACAGAAAAGGACACACTGACAAGCATGAAGGCATGGGTTTAAGTCAAAAAGGCATCCAAGAAACCTTTAAACACTTATAGGCATATAAAAACTCTTCTTGGGAAGTTTTAACTGCAGCTGCCCCCCAAGCGTATATACAACATTCCATCTCATTAATTGATAACTGCGAATATGATTGCCTTACACTTTGGCGGCATGGGCAGAGGAGTGAGAGAAAACAATCTCCATGCTGTCAAGGGAGGAGAGTTAATGGGACCAAGTCTAAATTTCAAAGAACTTTGCACAATCATTTAATAAATAGCCCTTAATGTTTACCAAATGTAGGAAATGCATAAGGCAGATCCCATGGAGGTCTGCCACTAATTCAGAAGCCACTGGGAGAGGTCATCAGGTGGTTTGGGCTGTCATGTCACCAATATGTTGGTGATACCCAGCTCTGCCTTCCTTTTCCATAGCATTTTGAGGATGCTGTTGGTGTGCTTGAATCTGTGCTTAGAGTCAGTAATGGGCTGGATGAGACTGAACCATCTAAAGCTTAATCCTGACAAGACAGAGGTTCATGTAGTAGAAAGGTAGACCAGGAACTTCAGCTCTGTCTTAAAGTTCCCTTAAAACTCCCCTTGAAAAGCCAGGTTTGCAGCTTGGGAGTGCTGCCTGACACAGCAGTTCCTTTAGAACGGTGGTAGGCAAACTGCGGCTCGGGAGCCACATGCGGCTCTTTGGCCCCTTGAGTGTGGCTCTTCCGCCGTAGGCGCTGACGGCCTATTCCCTCCATTGTTCTCTATGGTGGGAAAAAAGTAACGTTTTTTCCCACCATAGAGAACAATGGAGGGGATGGGGCAACCTGTTTGGGGGCCCATAGAATTGGACCCCCTGGTTCAATGTTCCTGAAACATGGCGGGTATCTTGGGGAGAGGCTCCAGCAGCTACCCTGCAATTCTGGAGCCTCTCCCTCAAACCCCCTCCCCTCCAGCTCCCAGAATATACCCCATGTTTTTGCCCTTGACTTCAATGGCCCATAGGATATAATGGGGCCGAACTGCGGGAAGCCCCAGCAGCCCTCAGGCCGGAGCACCTGGAACAGTCTTGGGAGGCGGATTGGCAAAAAGCAAAACCAAAAGCGCAGGAACTCGAGAAAACTCCAGGAATGGAGCCGGTTTCTCTTCCACACCCCAAAATGCGACCCACCAACCCTGAGCTTGCTTTTTCTCATTTGCAAGTCTGGCCTCCGCACTCCTTTAACGAGGCAGCCCTGAAGCTTGGGGCGGCGGGAGCTTCTTTGCACGCAGCTTGTGCGGCTGGCTGAGTGCCTCTTCTGCTTGCCCACCTCTCACCTCTGCACCTCATCTTCTGCCAGGCATGGAGGAGCCCAGCTCGCCCAGGCTTCTTGCCTCCTGCTGCCTTGGCCCTCTGGTGCACGGGTGAGTCCCCAAAGTTTGACTCTTCCTCTACAAGTCTCTGGCGCTGGAGGTATTCGCCTCCTTCCCTCCTGCCTGCTATGGCTGCAAAATTGTGAGAGATTTCTTAACATAGTGTCCCTGCCAGGGAAGCTGGGGACCCTGCCCATGAGTCTCCATTTCATCCTCACAACAACCTTGTGGGGTAGGTTAGGTAGAGAAGGGGAGATTTGGCCCGGGGTCACTCAGCCAGCAGAGTGAGAATACAAACCTGGGTCTCCCCTCATCAATCTGCAACTCTGACCATTGTGCAGTGCTGCCTCTACTGATCTGTAATGTTCCAGAGGTGGTGTAATGTAATACTCAGTTTCTCAAACGAGTGTATGCCTGTCTGTTGGTCCACTTAGGAGTCTTGATCCTGGTTGTGTGGTGGGCTAGTTGTGGCAACTGGTATGGAAGCTCAGTATTTCTGTATAAAGTTGTTGGGGCTTTATTGCAATGTGCTTCCAAAGATTTAGTGTGGATGGATGCCCCTTTAAAACAACCCACCCATATTTACTTGGAGGTGTCCTGCACGACTCTCCAAGACTACTTGTCCATTGTGGTGTTTCAGTGCTCCCTCCAAGCTGTGGAGCCCTGTGAGCAAAGATTCTACTTCGTGAGCTCCTGGCATGAAAGCTGTGAGCGAGCGATTTGGCTACTACTGCATAAATGAGTTTGCTCTTGAGCCATCCTTCCTGAGCTAAGACAAAAATGTGTGAGCCGGAGGCTAAAAAACTGTGAGCTAGCCCACACTAACTCAGCTTAGAGGGAACTTTGAGTGGCCACTTTTTGTCGACTCTGCTTTCGGTGTTGCGTGCTTGAAACAGCTGAGCTGGGTAGGAAGGATGACTGTTGCGGGCCTCTGAAAACTGCCCCCCCACCCAATTAACTTGTGAAAGCCACTGCCACAGGATGTGGGTGGGAGGTTTAGGGGGGGGGAACCCATAGAGATGAAATATATTGTGAACTTAATCAAGCTTGCATTCAGAGACACTGAACCTCTTAATATGAAATGCTGTTGAGAGAATGGGGGAGGGCAAACAGCTCTTTGAGCTTCCAGAGGCCTCTGGAAGGCTGCAGTTGGGAACAGAATGCTAGCTGCTAGCTAAGAACCTTGAATCTGGTCCAGTGAGGCCATACATATTGATGCTCTCTAGTGTGTGCCTAAAATTAAAAACAACAACATACAAACCTGACTTACCTGAACTTTCCAAGGAGATGCAAGGCCATTGTTCACATTAGTGTTTGTCATGAGTTATTTTGTCATGATTTAATTTTATGGATACTTTGGACATATAGAGAGGATGAACGAAAGGAGACGAAACAAGTACCGGTATACAAGACGAGTGTGGATGGGAGAGCTGGAAGGGGTCGACTTCAGCGAATGTACCTCAATCAGATTGAGGACATTTTTAGCAAAGGCCAGTTTAGGAGTACCCTAATTAAGTTAATAACAATGTACTTACCTATATTTTATTTATTTTATATAGTTTTAAGTTTTAAAAATTTGGCTCTCAAAATAAAATTCAATCGTCGTACCGTTGATATTTGGCTCTCTTTACTAATGAGTTTGCCCACCACTGCCTTAGAAAATCAGGGTACTGCTGTGGCTTAGACTGGAACAGCACCACACGGGACTGCAATGTTAACAGGGAGTAAGTCACTTTGAACTCACTAGGCATAACTTGTACCTAAACATTAATAGCCTGGGACTAGGACTGGATAAGATGGAAGCAGGGAAATCCTACTTCAGCCTAGGTCCTGCTTCAGCCACAGGCAAGCCACTTTACTTTTAAGTCCCATCTGCAATATGGGAAAACTACATGATGAAGAATAATTGTGAGGTAAAGCACAAATTCATTGTTTCCCCAACTCTAATGTTTCTTTGTATATGTATCAAGGTTCTTCCATGCCTGGCAACACTGTGGAAGTTTGCAGATTCCAACTTTTTGGCAAGGTCTAGGAGACTGGAGACAAAATAAGTGGAAAGTGTTCTTGAAGGACAGTTGTGCTTCAACAAAGCTTGCATAAACCAATGTCTGAATGAATGTATTGAGCTGCTTTAATTCCCCCCCCCCCTTTAAAGGCAGAGAGATTTAATTTTGATGTGGATCCAGATTTTGTGGAAGAGCTCAGAGGATGGCTGGCTGAGATCGATGACCAGAAATATTGGTAAGTACAGGTTGGTGTTCAGATACAGACGCCACTGGCTTTAGGAACAGCTGTCCCAGCTGTCACTGAAATGTTGGAACATTTGAACATGGTGATGCTGGAGAGAATGTGCAAAACCTACCCTCCAAGAACACTGTCTTCCACAGAGAGGTAGCCCTAGGGCAGTTCTGGCTGCAGGTTTCACAAACATTCCATATACAAGGACACAGATGAGGAAGAAAAAGCAATGGCTTCTTCTGCAAGTGGCATATCACTACTGACATCCAGTGTTTCCTATGAAACACTGGATTGGGCCCACCAAAGATACAGCACTAGGCCAAAGAAAGAGGTCTCCAATCTGGTAGAGGTCTCCAGATTTATATCAAACGATGCTAGATTTGCATTAATGCAGGCTCATGACTCTAGTCTTATCACTGTTTACTCAAAAAGCTCACAGTGCAGCATGACACCTATTCTTACAGGAAAAGTTTATGACCATTGAAAGGGACAAGCCAGTTTAATTCTCAAAACTGGCGAAACTGTGTCTGGGATACTCTCTTTCAGGCAGTCAGAATCACACAATTAAAGGGTTCTTCATACCAAAGCAACATCTATGCAGAAAATGAAGTGACAAAAAGGGTTCTGGTCTAGCCTGATATGCTAGTTTATTATCAGGAGGGAATTTATTGTATGAGATAGTCATGCACACTCCTTTCTCCTGTCTGACCCAGATTAGCAGTTTTGTATACACTAAGCCTGGGCCATGACTGTCAACTGCAAATCTGGTTGCTTTAGCCCACAAACCTGTTTCATACTTTGGGGAAGGGCTGCGGCTCAGTGGTAGAGCATCTGCTTAGTGTGCAGAAGGTCTCAGGTTCAATCCCCAGCATCTCCAGTTAAAAAGATCAGGTAGTAGGTGACGTGAAAGGCCTCTACCTAAGACTCTGGAGAGCCAGTGCCAGTTTGAGTAGACAGTCCGGATCTTGATGGACAAGGGTCTGATTCAGTTTAAGGCAGCTTCATGTATTCATATGTTAGTCTGAAAACTCATTAGTAATGTAGGGTATTTAACGTTAGACCTTTTTTGCTGTTAAAGCAAAGATCCACCTAGTGTGCAGTAATGGTTACAAAGCGATTTCCCATTAAGAAAAGGGCAAACCATTTAATGTCATTTATAGCTATAATTGTTTGCTAGTGAAATGGGGTGGTCATAAAGCCAGCAAACTACAGCCATGAAAAACCCTGCTCCTCACTCAATTGAGCAAAGTTACATATGCACTAGACAAGGCCAATCAATAAAAGTTAGGCAGGCCATATATTAGATTCTATGCACATTAGATACAATGCACAGTAATCATTTTCATTTTCTGTTTCTTAATAGCACCTCATCTCCAAACAAAAGCAGCACATATGAGATGAATCCAATGCTAGAGCAGTAGAGAATCAAAGGATATTCTCCGCATGTTCTTCAATCAGCCTGTTTATATGCTCAAGAATGCTCAACTTTCCTTCACATGAGAAGCAACAGAACTAAACCATGCACAGAGATTAGACAGCAAAACAGCAGACCCTGAATCAGTACAGATACTGTTGGAATTGCAAGTTGCTTACACTTCAGCTATTACAGAGTTAAATGTTGTTTGTTAGGAAACAGGATGTTACGTTACATAATGTATTCAACGGCGGGAAAGTTTGTGGGAGTTGTTTATCCTAATGAAGTGACCTGTAACCTTTGTATTGGTCAACTAACATCTTGTTTGTAGAAATGCTTTGATCTAGCATTAATGTATTCACAAGTTTATGGCCCTTTGTGTGAACCAAAGCGGTAGTTCTCTTCTAGAAGCCAAGACAGATAGAAAGATGTAGATAGCTGTTAGCATATATTACTGAGAGTAAGTGCAAGTATGTAACCTTTTATTTTATTTCTTTTATCCAAAGTACCATACCCATGTTGTATTTTGTTTTTATAGTAAAGATATTTTTCTTTTACTAAGTGTGGCTCTTGTGTTTGCAATACGACCATCGACCCTGAATCAAAGAATCCCAACAAAGTTGTAGCAGAGGGCGGTTTATTTGCAACACAGAAAGAACCCCATTGTTTTCTTGACCTGAATTAGAAAGGGCAGAGAGAATCCTTTTTGAAGTTAGAAGCTTTTGGCCACGAGATTTTTGTTTACCGGACTTGCAATGACACCTCCCGTTCCCCGCTCATGCCGGAGACAAATCTACAAAGTCAACAGAGTGCTAACTAATCCCTGCATTTACCGAAGCTGAGACGCTGAAAGGAAAAGCAACTCTCCAGTGCAGCCTTTCAAACTGAGAATGTCAAGAGGTGAGGAATCAGCCTCTGCTTCAAGAGCAATGCCTGTGAATAACAATGGAAATACTACAGTTCGTGGTGCACCAAACTTTCAAATCCCTACCTTAACTGCCCACAATTATAGATGGTGGTCAACTGAGATAAAAAATAGCTTTGACAGTACATGATATTGAAGATGTTTTAAATAAAGATGTTCCTGATCAGCAGCCACAAAAAGGGGAATTTCTGAAAAGAGATGCAGTTGCAAAAGGCTTAATTATGAGTTATGTTAATGCAATGGAATGCCAGTTGCTAGTGGATTGTGAGACAGCTAAAGACATGTGGGAATGGCTCAAAGGTCATTATGGGCAAAAGGATGATTCACAAGCATTATTCCTTAGACAAAGCATGCACAGTATCAAAATGCATGAAGGTGAATCAGTTGCTAAACACTTGGATAAAATTCTGAAAATTGTTTCTGATAGAAGAGCTTCAGGAGACACACTCCCTGACAAAGAGATCATTGTTTCTATCTTCAATAGTCTACCTGAGAATTTCAAAAATCAAATTGCTGTATTACAAGCACAGAAAGACCTGTTGATTTTACTGTAAATTATCTGAAACGAGAAGGAACTAGAAGGGATCTTTTTGAGACAACAAATGTCAGTTCTGAGAGTACAATCTGACAGAAAGGAAATAATATGCCATTCAAACGCAAATCTTAAGAACCATTGGCTTGTGGACTCTGGAAGTTATAGCCATGTGTGTAATAAAAGAGAATGCTTTATTGAGTTTGATGAACACAAATGTCCCAGCCTGCAACAGTTTAATGGTCAAGAATTAAATGTTCAAGCATAATCAATGCTTCCTTTCAAGTTTGTGGCATTTTTCCTCCTTGTTCGATTTCGTGTAACACCTCCTTATATGGTATTACTATTTGGTCTTCAAATTTATGATACACTTCTATTGGAATACTATCCGGGCCTGGGGTTTTATTGGTTTTTTGCTTTCGAATTGCCTCTACTATCTCCATTTGTGAAATAGGTTTATTCAGTATAACTTTTTGTTTTTCATCAAATTTCTTCCTATTCCATTTTGCTAAGTAATCTTTTGTTCCTTCGGGATTTAAATATTCTTGATGATATAAATTCTTGTAGTATTTTTCTATTATTTCATTGAGTTCTGCAGCGTTGTGTTTTTCCATTTGTTTCTCATCTCTGAGTGCTGTAATTACTCTTTTGGTCTTTTCTTTTCTTATTTTATAGGCTAGCCATCTGGTCGGCTTATTTGCGTTCTCGAAGAAATATTGCTTTGTATATTCCAATTTTCTTGCTACTTCGTGTGTTAGTATCAAGTTTAATCTGTGTTGAAGTGCTTTGAGTTTAATTTTCATTTTGGCTTCATTTCTTCCTTTTTTCCATTTACCTTCTTCCTGTCTCATCAGCATTATCAATTTTTTATAGTCTTTTCCACGTTGTTTTCGTACCCATGCTTCTTCATTTATAAATATTCCTCTGAGGTACGCTTTAAAGGCGTCCCACACCACTAACATTGATGTCTCCGCCCGAATATTGTTGTCGAAAAATTCTTTTATATCCTGTTTTGTTTTTTCTACAAATCTTTCATTGTTCATTAATTTTTTATTTAAGTAGCATCTTCGCTTCCTGCGAGTTCCCTGCATTGTCATAGCTATGGGGTTATGATCAGCAAAAGTAGATGGAAGTATTTCTATTTCTTCTACTTCATTGAGTAACGATATTGTTGACCATATCATATCGATTCGTGACCAAGATTTGTGCATATTTGAATAAAAAGTAAAATCTTTTCTTTCCAGATTTCTTACTCTCCATACATCAACCAAATTTTGTTCGTCAACTAAATCAAAAAAGGCTCTTGGTAATGTATTTCCCCATTTCTTATTTTTTCCAGAATTTTTCCTATCTGTTTTGGTTTCGAGAACCGCATTAAAATCTCCAACAAAACTCATCGAAATTTTGCAATGCTATTAGCTCTTTCAAAGATCTATAATATTTTTCCTGGTTTTGGTTTGGTGCGTAAACATTTACTATCATCAATTTCTTGTTGTTTCTAAGTAGCGTTATCGAAGCTGTCAATACTACAGTATATTTGCATAACAGAATACCTTCCAAAGTGACAGGCCTAACTCCGTTTGAGATTTGGTATGGCAGAAAGCCAGCTCTAAAACATTTAAGACCATTTGGTTCCAAAGCTTACGCATTCATACCCAAGGAAAGAAGGGGAAAGCTAGACCCCCGAGCAGAACTTGGTATCCTTGTTGGGTATGCACTTGGAGGAAGAGGATATAGAATCATGGATCCTAATACTTGTATGATCAAAGACTGTAACGTGGTACATATAGATGGCAACAGTGTGTTACAAGTCCCTGAACAAGCTGAGTCCAGAGTGCAAACTGAACAGCACACTACAGCAGATGTTTCTTTCAGTGACCTGGTCATTTGGCAACCTGCAAAGACCACCTGTGAACAGGCAGGTCCACCTTCAACAGAAAGTACCGAATTAGAAGGGGAAGCAGGAAACCTTAGGCTAAGGGAGGCAGAGACATGGACTGCAACTACTGTGAGAAGATCAGCAAGGGACAACAAAGGCGTACCACCACCGAGACTTGGCATTTGTGCAACTGTACTACTTGTCAAAGAACCTTCAAGCTGGAGAGACATAAAAAGACTACCTACACCAGAGATAAACAAATGGATGGACGCAATGAATGATGAAATCAAATCCTTATATGAGAAGCAAGCTTGGACACTTACAAAGTTACCTCCTGGAAGAAAAGCTATCGACAATAAATGGGTGCGCAAGGTGAAATACAAAGACAAGCAGCACACACATTGCTATCAAATGTATTTTAGTGAAAGATATGCAAAAGAAAGGACTGGTTGAAGTTCAATACTGTCCTACTGAAGAAATGTTCGCGGACATTTTGACCAAGCCACTTAGCCTAGCCAAGATCGCAAACGTATGTAAGAAGATGAACCTAATTGATCCAAAGCGTGACTGAAATGTTAGAACTTGAGAAGGGGTGTTGGAATTGCAAGTTGCTTACACTTCAGCCATTACAGAGTTAAATGTTAGGAAACAGGATGTTACGTTACATAATGTATTCAACGGCGGAAAAGTTTGTGGGAGTTGTTTATCCTAATGAAGTGACCTGTAACCTTTGTATTGGTCAACTAACATCTTGTTTGTAGAAATGCTTTGATCTAGCATTAATGTATTCACAAGTTTATGGCCTTTTGTGTGAACCAAAGTGGTAGTTCTCTTCTAGAAGCCAAGACAGATAGAAAGATGTAGATAGCTGTTAGCATATATTACTGAGCGTAACTGCTAGTATGTAACCTTTTATTTTATTTCTTTATCCAAAGTACCATACCCATGTTTTATTTTGTTTTTACAGTAAAGATATTTTTCTTTTACTAAGTGTGGCTCTTGCGTTTGCAATACGACCATCGACCCTGAATCAAAAAATCCCAACAGATACGTAAACACAAACTTTTTAATAGCTACACATACACAATTTTGAGATTTATCATAGTCTCATTGGCATGTTTATAACAGAATAGTAGAAAAAATTTCAAGACTAGATTAAATTTCTGTGTTGCATATCAGGGAAAACGGTAGAAGGAGAAGAGAGAAAATAACAGCAAAGGTCTAGATGACTACAAATTTGATGCAGACACCCCAAAATCCCCACCCCATTATGTAACATACTGAGTAGGAAAGGGATAGGCCTCAAAGCTTAGATGAGTTCATTATACTTATTCGTTCCAACTGTTTTAAGTTCTGGCTTCAACCACTAGCAAAACTGTGACTGCAGCAATACTTTTCCTGCAGGGACTACAAGCTGAATTACATCATCAAATTCAGCCAAAATTCAGTACCCTGTAAAATGGCATAGAAACCTCTGGTCTTCTTCCATACTCCCAGTAACATTATAGTGATCGGAAGGAGGTACATATTTATCATAACGGTAGATATCTACAGGCTGCGGTTGACTCAGCGGCTGCTGGGGTGCTCTTGTTGGGCTCTGCTCTTCCTTCTGTGCAGTCGAGTGGTGGATCTCCCACAAGAAGCAGAAGCCAGGCTCTCAGTGCAGCACAGTCTTATAGGGGGGAAGGCTACAGTATTTCTTAGGCTTCTGGCTATCATCCCCCACCAGTCTCAAGAGCAGGTTAAAAGCCAGGGCTGAGCGACATCATGTCAGTTGCCCAGATGGAGAACACTTCAATGCAACCTATGCGTGAACTGCCTGCTGTGCTTAACAGATATGAGCATTTTGTCTTCCTCATCGTGAATACACAAGGCTGCCTGGTTGAGACTGTACATTCTGATTCAAGTACAGAAGCACACACCCCAAATCTGTGAAATATGTGCTAGCAAGAAGGGGTTGGTCAATTTTCAGCCACAAGTCATGGAATGCTTGATCCAGCCTTACAGGGGAAGGGGTAAAGTCCAAAAATATATTTTGAAAGAGAAACTGTACTTTTATCTTGCTTTCCAAATTCTGTATTTCCCTTCCCCATTTTCCCTCATTTGTCTACCTCTGGGTATGCTTAAAGTACTTTTAAAAACTGGCTCCTAGCCCTGAGAGATTTCTTAGACGAATCTTTCCCCCATGGTGAGCTGTTCTGTTCATCCTTCTTAACCTGAGACACAGGACTAGTATGGTTCAATCATTCAGGGCCCCAAGAAGTTAACTCCCAATGACAAGAACAGATGATCTGGAGGGACTACGCCAGCCGCTTGAAAAGCATCCACTCCACAGCACAGCGTACACTGTAAATGAGACATCATGAAAATAAAGGCTGAGCAAGTCGCCATTTGTAATGGCTTCTCCTTTCAATGACACAGATGAGTAACAAACATCAGCAATGACCCCTTGAATCAGAAGTACCACATCATAAGTCTTTCCACAGCATCTGGGATCAATGAGGTGGTTACCCCCGTGTTTCCCACCAAACACATGCCAGAGGACTGAATTCCACAGTGAAGTCCCGCCACCTGCTGCTGTTAATCTGGACCAGGGTGGCTATGGCTTATGCTTCTGGTCTTCAGCTGTGACTGGGCTATGTCAGCTAAGGCACACTGTATCTTCTCCAAGAGCAGATCCCCACGATACACCACGTCTTCCAGGCGTGCTGCTGCCTCATGGTTCTCTTCCTCCAAGCGATACAGACTGGCAGCCTGGACAGTAAAAAGAACAGTACGCATCATACATCCAAGTCTTACTTTTCACACTACAATGGACACTTGTGAACTCAGAGATATTAGGTGATCTGAAGCACTTTGCACATCAGAGAATTCCTGAGACCATAAAAAACTATACGGGGAATACTTAAATCCCCCCCAAAGTAAAGAAGCATCCCTGTGCATGCGCAGGGAACGTTATGAGAAGGCTTTGCCGCCACAGGGGATGGGGGGCGAGAGAAGGCTCGGCGGACTAGCGCCGCCACCGCTGGGGAAGGAAGGGAGGAGAAAGCTTGGCGGACTGGCCTTGCCGCTGGGAAGGGAGAAAGCTTGGCGGGCCGCGGGAGGGAGAGGAGAAAGCTTGGTGGGCCGGCCTTGCTGCTGGGGAGGAAGGGGGAAAGGAGAAACCTTGGCGGGCCGGCCTTGCCACCGCCACTGTGGGGGGGAGGGGGGGAAGGAGAAGGCTGAATGTGTCAAGGTGAGAAGAAGACAATGACTCAGCCCTACCCACCTTCTGGAGTAGATATAAATTTACTGCCTACCATTTTCTTCTCACCTTAACACAGAGAGTATTCCATCTTTCTGTGTTTATACCTCTGAGGATGCCAGTCACAGTTACTGGCGAAACGTCAGGTTCTACAATGCCAAGACCACTGCCACACATCCTGGAAAATCTACAGCAACATAGAGGGGATGCTTATCAAATCTGCAGATGACACGAAGCTGGGTGGGATTGCTAATTCTGAAGAAGACAGAGTCAGGATTCAAAAAGATCTAGATAGGCTGAAACAGTGGGCTGAGACAAATACAATTAATTTCAATAGAGATTAGCAGCACATGTGAAAGGGATCTAGGTGTTCTGGTTGATCACAAGCTAAACATGAGCCTGCAGTGCGATGTGGCTGTGAAGAAAGCTAATGCAATCTTAGGATGCATTAACAGAAGCATTGTGTCCAGATCAAGGGAGGTGGTAGTTCCGCTCTATTCTGCTATGGTCAGGCCTCACCTGGAGTACTGTGTCCAGTTTTGGGCACCACATTTTAGGAAGGATGTTGACAAGCTCGAGCATGTCCAGAAGAGTGCAACCAGGATGGTGAGAGAGTTGGAATCCAAGTCTTATGAGGAAAGGCTGAAAGAGTTGGGTATGTTTAGCCTGGGAAAGAGAAGGCTCAGAGGGGACATGATTTCAGTCTTCAAATATCTGAAGGGCTGTCATGTAGAAGATGGAGCAGATCTATTCTCTCTTGCTCTGGATTGCAAGACTAGATCTAATGGGTGGAAGTTACAAGGGAGTCGTTATTGGCTAAATATCAGGAGAAACTTCCTAACGGTAAGAGTGGTTGAGCAGTGGAACAGACTACCTCGGGAGGTAGTGGATGCTCCTTCGCTGGACATTTTCAAGCGGCGGCTCGATGACCATCTTTCAGGTATGTTGTAGGGCTCTCTTTTGGCTATATTCCTGCAGAGTGCAGGGGGGTTGGACTAGATGACCTGCAAGGTCCCTTCCAACTCTAACATTCTATGATTCTATAAGATCATACCAAAGGCATTTTTTATGTTCCAGTTTTAGAATTGTAGAATTTAACACAATACAATCCTCTCACATTGAAAAAAACCAGAAGACTACATGCAGGTGAATTCCAGTGAAGACCACAAGACAATATAGTGCCGACAGTCTCTGAGAACTCAATGAATGATGATGTACAACAGTCTCTATAGACTCAAAAAGTGACAACATGCATCCCGGGCAGTATACACATTTCTGGATCTTCTTCACTGTCACGATTATATCATAGTCTTTCAATCCGAACCAATGCTCAATAAAATTAACTTGCTAGCAGCAAAATGCTGTCAATCATTTTTAACTTACTAGCAGCAACACACCATCAGCATGTTGCAGCTACTAAGTTAATTTTACTGAGCATTGCTTCCAACTGGAAAACTGTGATACAATCAGGACCATGAAGAAGAACTGGAAATATGTATAGAGCCCAGGATACATGCTGTCGCTTCATCAACACTTTTTGAGTCTTTAGAGACTGTCGCTTTATCAGCGTTTATTGAGTCTATACAGTTGTACATCATCTATTCATTGAGTTCTCAGAGACTGTTGGGACTGGATTGGCTTGGGAATGAGTCAGGCAGCTTGCTGATTGTAAAATTTTATACCAAAGAATCAGTTTATGGCTAAAGCCAAATAAACGCTTTTATAAGTGGTCAAGGCATTTTGATAAAATACTGTTTTACTCACTGAAACGAAAGGAAACACAAAGCACATGAGCAACTTAAAACCCACTCTTACCTGTAACGTAGCTGTAGATTCTTCACTAGGCAAGGAATCTATTAAAACATCAATATCCTTAGCAGTCCTGGCAATCAAGGCAGCAAAGAGCTGGGCATATTCTGGAAAAGCAACATTTGTTATTTAAGAATATAAAACCAGGTTGAGGCTGCTCCAGTCACTGTACTTTAAAAAGAAGGGCTTTTTAAAGACAATATATGTGAGAATATTTAGCACAGCTGGTATTCTCAACAGATGGGCAAAGTTAAGGGGCTGTGTTCAGTAGCAGATCACCTGCTTTGCACACGGAAGGTCCCAGGTTCAACTGCCAGGATCTTCAGTTAAAGGACAACAGGTAATGGGTACTTAACTGGCAAAGAGACCTTTCTCTGTCTGGGACCTTGGAGAGTCACTGCCAATCAGTATAGACAACACCAAGCTAAACAAAGCAGTATAAGGGAGTTTCATGTGTTCATGATGGATTTATAATAAAATACGAAGATAGCAAGACCAACTATTTTAAACAGACATTTGGAATAGACCAAATGGAGACTGAGCATGGAAAGTCTAAAATGGTAACATCACATTTCGGATAAACTGTAGATATTTAAAGTACACTGAGAGGTTTATTTATGAATAAAAAGTTACATTCTAAGCAGGAGCCCACTGATGCCCATGGAAAGGCAACAACAACAAAAGAAGAAGCTTTTTCCCCTAAATGCTCTTAAGTGAATATACCATGTTAGCTATTGTAGCTTGCAGGAAACCATCAGCTGGGGAGAACAATGATTAGCATGTAAGAGTATCATCCCATTAATCTTAAGATTAAAAACCTAAAATACAATTTAAAAGCTGAGAAGCACCTTTTTGAACAACCTTAATTAACCTTTCCCAACCAATATTTTCACCACATGTGGCCAAGATAACAATGCTCTTGGAATGCACAGCTGATCACTCTTAACAAAGCTGTATCTCAAACTGAAAGCAGACTTTGACTATAATAAACAAATGATTTTGTGTATTGATGCCAGCTTCCTACATTCTGTAAGCCTTTGAGAAAGCAAACAGAAACAGAAACAACTGTTTAGAAAAGCCAAGTGAAGGACTCTGCAATGCTTGACTTCCCGTGTGGTCTTGGAGAATGCAATAGTTTTCTCTCCCCATGTTACAGAGGTAGACAGACAAAAAAGAAGCTTACTTGCCTTCTGTAGGATTAGTTTGTTGGTCTTTGTTTATTGCAGTTTGTATGTTGCTAAAAGATGCAGGTGGAGCACACTGCTGCAAGACTCCAATTGCATTACAAAACTGATCTGCAAGCTACAGGTAAACACAGAACGATTAATTTCCAAAAATATGTTATGAATGTATACTACATAACAGAATAGCAGCTGTTAGTTAAATGGAAACATATTTGAAAAACCTGGCAAAGGCATCTGTGCTGCAAACTATACCATACATTTAATCCTTTGAACTGCAGACAGAACTGATGAAATAGAATTCTAGACACAGACATCACGATAGCCCACTAGGTCTAGAGGAGATCAATGGGATGTAATGCTAAAAGCAAATTGCAAAGCATGCAACAGAAGCACAGAGGCTACTGGCCCCCATACATTCAAATTAGCTCTTGAACCACACACAGGGAGACAGTCCAGGATTTAAAGTTACCAACTGGATATGTGACAGGAATAGAAATGTTCCATTTGTAACTCCAGTTCTCCAAAGATTTTGTGCTATTCCGCCCAATTATGCATGGACAGCAGGGGAGAGCCCCTACCTTCCTACCCTGCTTCCAGGTGGTAGGTATCTTGGTTGGCCACTGCTGAACTTTTAGCCTGACCTGACAAAGAAGCTTATGAAATATTTCAACAGCAGAAAGGGGGGTGGTTTTGCCTACCTACCAAACTAGTGCCTTTCTATCCTACGGTTTCGCAAGCAGCTGAGGGCAGCATACTCATTGTCCTCACCTTCATTCCATTACGAGTTAGTTAAGCCCTTGCCCCCACTCAATTCGAAATCTCCTGGCCTGCCATTACACTTTACAGACCCTCCCTCTCCTCGATTTAGAGAGTCACGCTCGGGCCCAAGCCAGCTTCAAGGCCAGACAGCCCCCCCCCCCCTTTAGACCTGCCCTCTGAAATGGCTGGGTTCTGTTTCCCCCCAGTAAAACCGGACGTGGAGGCTCCATTCCCCCAAGGTGTCCCGACTCCCGAGCGACTAGAAGGGCGGCTCAAGCGACACAAGCTCTTCAGGGAGCACCAAAGAGAGTAGAGCGGAAAATCTCCTTAGCAACAACAGTAAAGCACTGAGCTAGCACTATAGGGCCTTAGATGTTCCGTTCTAGTTCAGGGCGACATCTGCACCTAAGAACAAGGTTGGTATACACAAGTTTAATGCAAATTCCGTCCTTTGAGGAATCCTTGCCGTCTCTTCTAATGACACGTGAAGAACCACTCCGAACTTATGGCGAGAAGGAGTTGAACGGTCGTTTCCCAGATTCGGCCTTCCACCTTCTCGACCTCCTACCCAGCCATACATTCACAGAGCACCTAGAGTCCCCTCCTCCTTCTTACCGAATTCACGGCGTCCTGAAGCTGTGTTAGGCGATCGGCCATAGCGCCTCCCTTTCCCAGTAGACCCACGCCACCTCCACCCGCGGATAGACGGGCGCGCCCGGCTAGAGCAACCAGCCAATGAGAAAGCACCGTGTTGCCAGGTGGGGTGAAAAATACCAGCGGAAGTGGTGGTCGCTTGGCAACGCTCCGATCGGCCCGACGTTCTATCCAGTACGTGAAGCACGGCCGCTCTTCATACAGAGTCGCTATTGCTCAGTACCCTTGAATGGACCATTCAGCTAGGACAATTGGATGTTATTTTCGCCAGTTCCAGACAGTGGCGTGTGGGGTGCGCACTGCCACAGGCGCAGCTTGGGAAAGGCTCTGGAAAGGAGGGCCCTTCAGGCCAGGGGACAGCAGCTCGCCCTCGCCGAAGAGTAGCTGGGTCGTTTCAGCGGTCCAAACAGGGGTGGGCGGGGAGCCGTCTCAAGGGTTAAGCCCCGGAAGTGAGCGGCTGTAGCGGTGAGCGGAGAGCACCATAGAAATGGGAGCGCGGCGTCGCCGGAGCGGTCGGGCCGGGCGGCTGTGTTGAGGAGGCGGTGTGGGCGTGAGCGGCGCGCGGCCTTGAGCCGGGATGGGCAGGCGGCCGGGATAGAACCCGAGTTCGTAGGGAAGCCTCGCCTGCCTCTGCCCGCCTTTCTCTCGTCTTCGAAGCAACGCGCGGTGGTCGCCCGGTGTCATGTGGCTGCCCGGCTTAGTGCTGCTGCTGGGCTCCGCTTGTAGGAAGACGACTGCGGAGGACAGCCCCGTGGGTAAGAGGATTCAGAGATCTTGGGTGCCTTGTGGAGTGGCCGGAGGTTCCTGCGGGGGGAGTGTTTCCAGTGAAGGGTGTCTCGGCAAGCCGCGGTGGGCCAGCGCCCCAGTTTCTCTAGGTCCAGGTTATTCCCGCTGGGGGTTGGCCTGGAGCGGACTGGGAACTTGGGAAGTGAACATATCCGTAGAGCAAGCCCAGCTGAATGGCCCTGGTGGCACTACGAGCCAGTGCTGTGGAGCCCCTCAGCTCAGTGGGGCAAACCGTGGGTATTACCTCGCCGTTTGTATGTTTCTCCAAATAGGCAGCACTGCTGGAGAGGGTAATTTGTGAGCTGACACCCATTGACATTGCTGTCAGAAGAACGCACATGAGAACAGAATGGAACAGACATGCTGCTTCAACAGGGACCTGGAATTTTGTACCTCTGGTCCCACCTTCTCAATGGCCTCAGTCATAGGAGCTCGGCCTCAAAAGGTGTCATCCTTGGAGTTTCTGTCTGCTTCCAAATATAGCTCATTATTGTAGATAAATTGCTGTTGAAGGGTCTGCGAGTGAAGTGACTCCCAAGGTGGTGGTGGTAGAGTTTCTGGGGCCGGCCTCTGCCTTTTCCTGGCTACCAGAAGCCCTCTAGGACAATAGCCTACTGGGAAATTTCCCTGTAGGACTCATAGTCCCTGGGTAGGGCTCACATGGACCAGGGGCATCTCACCAAGGCTGTGGCATTGGGAGCTCCTGAAGAAGGGGCCACCTTGCCTTCGGTTCATCAGGGGGAGAATGGGTTCTCAAGCTGCCTTGCACCTGTGGGGGTGGCTGTTCCTAATGCCACTGGCCCAGTGGCTGGTGTTCCAGTGTGTGTGTTTGGCAGCCATGTGACTGAGTTGGCCCTGGCCTGGGATTATGCACTGTCTAGGAGGGAGCTGCCAGTGCTGAGCTTGGCTCTGAGTTGTACGTGTACATGTCTGATGCCCATTTGCTATAGTCCCGTGTGTTTTCTGATGCCCATTTGCTGTAGTCCCACTTGCGTGTTTTGGTGTCTTGGGAGTATTGTGGAGCGATCCGAAGAAGAGTTGTGCATTTCTTAGCCCCCTGGCTTTGATGGCCTGTTAAAAAGTCTCCAAGTGTGAAGAAGCCTTGACAGGATTCCAAGAGACTAGATGATGATGGAACCATAAGTTTGGTGGAGGTTAAGACTGTACCTTGCCCTGGGTGAGAAGGCTCTTGAATGCTATGCCGTGGCATTCTGAAGAGTATTCTGGGCAGAGGACAAGGCATGTGATCACTGTTGGTGCTCCCTAAGCTGGGTGTGTCTTCCAGAGGAAGCCCAATGATCCTGGGAGTTGGAGGCCTTCAAAAACCTGGTCATGTGTTGTGGTTATGGTGTCATGTTCTCAGTTTCCTCCACTGATGAAGAAGCATGACTTTCTCATTCCTGAGATCTCTGCTCCAGAAGGAGCAAGCTCCACGTGCCTCTGGAGGCTAGAAGTTCATTAAATGCACAGACTGGTTCTGACTGACTTTTGTGGGATCGTTCTTGTTAATTAATGAGCTTTAGAAGAGCAGGTTAGTAACAGAAGGGCAAAGCATATCTGATGCAGTTTGCTAGTGGATTGCAGAGATAGGTTTGGCTGGGAATTCCCCCCCCCCCATTTTAAGTAAGCTTCATTAGAATGTTACAAAGTCAAAGGGGGGAAAAGCTGTGCAAAGTGCTAGCAAAATAAATTGAATATGTCTGGCAGTCCTAGATTAGGAAAGGTAGAAGGTAGGGAGCACTGGCATGCAACTTGAAATCATTTGTAATAGCGAAAGAATTTAAATGTGCATGGAGGTGGGTCTGAGCTTGCACGGTGTGTCCATAGCTGTTTTTATAATGCTGGAGTGGCTCCCTTTAGTGAACCAGCAAATTGAGTGCTACTTATCGGTAATCCTTCTGTCCAGTGGCCGTATCAGAGGCCCTTCAGCCTTTCTAGACCAAGAACCAATCCCCAACATTGCAGTATGGGGCACACTGAGCCGCAAGCACATTACTGGAAGCTATGTGAAGTTGGTCATGTGACAGCGGAAAGAAAAAGAGCCAGAGCTGGGACCTCATTGATGGAATGGTGGTCTTTGTGATGCATGCATGGAGACCTGGAGGATTGTCCAGAGGAATGAAAGGCAAGGCAGGTGGTGGGGGGGGAGAAGACAAGGAATAGTTCTTACAGGGAGGGGATCTTTCTGCCTTCTTCCTGCACTAAAATCTTTTCTGCTGTCTCCCTGTGCTGCTGGGGTCTCAAGTGTGTGTACAAGGAGAAGCAGCAGGCATGGTGGTGCCCGTTGCTCTCTATGCATGTACACTGTTTTATTTATTTACATTTTTTAAAGTCCACCTTTTTCACAGGGAATCAAGGCGGATTACACGGAGTGAGTCAGTAGTCAACAAAATGGGTCATTGAATAATCAACACATTAGGATTTTAGAAGTCTGCAACCACCAGAAAGAACTGAAGTATAGCATAAATATTCACTTGGCACATTAAGCGGCACAGAAATTACATAAATAGGATCTTATTTACAATAAGCTAAGCACGGAAGTGTAGACCATAGTCCCTAATCATTTATTCAGTGCAGTGCAGTGCAGCGCTATTACCCGTGGGGAAAAAAGCTCTCCTGAATAGATCAATTTTGCACAGCTTGTGGAAAGCCAGGACACTGGGAGTTTTCCTGACCTCCTCAGTCAAACTTTTCCACAAGGCATGAGCCACCATAGAGAAATCATGTGTACTGGCAGCTGTTGATTTTGCTCATTTGAAGGCTGGTAGCTGCAGAAGCCCTGCCGACTTGAGTGAAGTTTTTATGGTGGAGCATAGGGAGAGAGGTGGTCCTGCTAAGGCCATGAAGGGCTTTGTATGTGATAGCCCATGCTGTAAACTGAGCCCAGTAAAAGATGGGCAGCCAGTGGAGTGTCTGCAGAATGGGAGTAATATGCATGCTCCATCTAGCTCCAGTTAGTAGCTGTCCTGCAGCATTCTGGACCAACTGGAGTTTCCAAGTTGATTTGGAGAGACCAATGTACAGTGAATTACTATAGTCGAGTCTCGGATGTTACTGGGGCATGGATCCGGGTGGCCAGGCCAGCCATATCTGGGTAAGGGGCCATCTTATGGGGTAGGCTAAGTTGGTAGAAAGCCTTGTTTTTTGCAGCTGCGTTAACTTGCTTCTCCAGTGAATAAGCTGGATCCAGTATGATCCCAAGCCTTTTAACTGAGTCCGCAAGGATCAGTTGCACTCCATCAGAAGTGGGGAAGAACAATGTCCTTCAAGACCTCCTCCTTCCCAACCAGCATTACCTCTGTCTTTTCAGGATTTAGTTTCAATTGTTCACTTTGAGCCAGTTAACCACCATAGCCAGGCAGTGATGACCTCTACCACATCACCAGGAGATTTGGATAAAGATATATAGAGCTGCGTATCATCAGCATATTGATGACAACCAACCCCAAAGCTATGAATTATTTGTCCTAAGGACTTTACATAGAGATTGAAAAGCAGTGGATCTTTCAAAAAAAGAGGACAAAATAGTGACTCTCTGGGTGGCCAGATCACTGACTTGGACTACTTAAGGTAACCATCCGTTAGACCTGTCCTCCTTGGCCTCGACACTTGACTGAACTCAGAATGATCTTCTGTAATATGAGGAATGGAATTTTCCTTTTACAGTAAGCCTCCCTGATTGGCTTTCCACAAGCTCTGCCTCATGCTCAGTGTTCCCTCTAAGCTGAGTTAGTGTGAGCTAGCTCACAGGTTTTTGCCTCCAGCTCACAGAGTTTTGACTTAGCTCAGGAAGGATGGCTCCAGAGCAAACTAATTTATGCAGTAGCCAAATCACCTGCTCACAACTTTAATGCTGGTAGCTCAGAAAATAGAATTTTTGCTCTCAGGACTCCACAGTTTAGAGGGAGCATTGCTCGTGCTATCTATGGAAACGTAACATAGTGACTGCATTCGGAGATCGCAAACAGATTTACAAAACTTGAAATCCTTACTTCATGGGGCATTTCTATTTGCATGTCGTACCTAGACTGAAGACTTCCTGAACCAGATGGCTCTTCAGCTTTGTCTTAGCGTCCTTATATCAGTGCTGTGTTGGAGAGCATCTACATGACTTCTTTGTTTTCCCTTCATTGTTCCTGTCATTATTCCTTAACCTGATTTGGTATAATCTTTTTGGAAAGATTGCAAACAAAATATGTTTGGATGCACAGTTCCTCTAAGCTGCACTAGGGAGAACTGGCACACAACATTTCAGAGGCCAGCTCAGAGGATTTCTGCTCTGCTCACAACCAAGCTTCCATAGGAAACAATGGAGGGTGGGGGCATCTCCTTTGGCGGTCCATAGAATTGGACTCCTTGGTCCAATATTTTTGAAACTTGGGGGGGGGGGTTAGGAGAGGAACCAGCAACTATGCTGCAAATGTGGTGCCTCTACCTCAAAAAATAGCCCACCAGAGTTCCAGATACCCCTGGATCGATTCTCTATTATAGCCGGTGGGCCCATTGATTATAATGGTCCGCATAGGCTATAATTGAGCCAGGAATATATTTTTTTGCACACCCTATTATGCTTTTCAGTATGATTTGTAAGCTGCCTCGATTCAACGGGAAAAGTGGGATATAAATATTTGAATAAATACGTAGCTTGGGCAGGTTGATAACATTTAAGCAACTTCCTGTTTGTTAGGTTAGGCAGGGTTCTGACAGTGATTGTTCCACCTCTGTTATACTAGAACTGTAATGCTGGTTATAATATTTCACTAAAAAAATTAAAGTAGACTGCAAGAGTCTTCCCCCCTCTAAATGCTGGTATGTTTTCTAAGGGTCAGCACGGGACAATGGTCCAAGGCCAGGTCTACCAATACAGTGGACTGGGGACGGTAGACCTGTTTCTCTGGAAGCCAGGTCTACCAATACAGTGTAGACCTGTTCTCCTGAGGCCAGGTCTACCAATATAGTGGAAAGGGGC